TGTTATTGTTGCTTTAGCTGGCCCAGGCCGGATTCAAAACCCCCAGCCTTGGTCTATGTGTCTGGCACCCTACCCACTGAGCTATGGGTGCCACCCAGTTTTCCTATTTTTAGTAGAGATGGGTCTCACTATTGCTCAGGCTGGTCTTGAACTCCTGGGCTCAAGAGATCCTCCTGCTTCTGCTTCTCAGGAGTGCTGGGATTGGACAGTGCTTGTGGGTCAAAGGAGTAGGGTGCTGGCCCCATATGCTGGAGGGGTGAGTTCAAACCCAGGCCCAGCCAAAAAAAAAAGAGTGCTGGGATTACAGGTGTGAGCCACCATGCCCAGCCTTGCTAATAATTTCTCCCATTCTGTGTGATGTCTTTTTGCTTTTTTTGATAACGCCATTTGAAACAGAAAAGTTTTTTTTTTTTCCTGAGGAAGTCTAATTTATCTATTTTTTCTTCTGTCATTTAGCTTTTGGCCTAAAAGCCCATTTTGTGTTACTATAACAGAACACCTGAGTAATTTATAGTGAACAGAAACTTATTTTAAAGTTTTGGAGACTGGGAAGTCCAAGATCTGTTGAGGAGCCTTCTTTTCTTTTTTTGAGACAGCATCTCATTTTCTCACCCTCGGTAGAGTGCCATGATGTCATAGCTCACAGCAGCAATCTTAAACTCTTGGGCTCAAGCAATTCTCTTGCCTCAGCCTCCCAAGTAGGTGGGACTATAGGTGCCCACCTCAATGCCCAGGTATTTTTAGAGATGGGGGGGTCTCACTCTTGCTCAGGCTGGTCTTGAACCCGTGAGTTCAGGCAATCCACCTGCCATGGCCTCCCAGAGTGCTAGGATTACAGCTGTGAGCCACCACACCCAGCCCTTTTAGGGCCCTCTTGATGTGTCATTCCATGGTGGAAGGGCAACAGAGAGAGCAAGAGGTCAAATTCCTCCACTTATAAGGAACTCACTCCTATGGCATAGAAGCCCTCATAACCTAAACACTTTTTTTTTTTTTTTTTGATACAGAGCCTCAAGCTGTCCCCCTGGGTAGAGTGCTGTGGCATTACAGCCCACAGCAACCTCCAACTCCTGAGCTCAAGCGAGTCTCCTGCCTCCGCCTCCCAAGTAGCTGGGACCACAGGCGCCCGCCACAATGCCCGGCTATTTTTTGGTTGCACCCATCGAATCCGGGCTGGATTCGAACCCGCCACCTTAGGTGTATGTGGCTGGCGCCTTAGCCGGTTGAGCTATAGGCGCTGAGCCACCTAAACACTTTTTAAGGGTCCCAATTCTCGAGACCTCAGCCTTTGGGACCAAGTTTTCAATACATGAACTTTAGGGACCACATTCAAGCCATAGCAACATCATATCTAAGAAGGCTTTGCCCACAGTCTTTCATAACCCAAGATTCTTTCTTCTTCTTCCTTCTTCCTCCTTCCTCCTTCTTCCTTCCTTCTCCTTCTCCTTCTCCTTCTCCTTCTCCTTCTCCTTCTCCTTCTCCTTCTCCTTCTCCTTCTCCTTCTCCTTCTCCTTCTCCTTCTCCTTCTCCTTCTCCTTCTTCTTCTTCTTCTTCTTCTTCTTCTTCTCTTTGTTACCCTGGGTAGAGTGCTGAGGCATCACAGGTCACAGCAACCTCTAAATCTTGGGTTTAAGTGATTCTCTTACTTCAGCCTCCCGAGTACCTGGGACTACAGGTGCCTGCACATATATTTTCTTCTAAGAATTTTATAGTTTTAACTCTTACATTTATGTCTACCATCCATTCTGAATTATTTTTTGTATAGTGTAAGGAGTCCAACTTCACTCATGTGCATGTGGATATTTAGGGGTCCCAGCACCATTTGTTGAAGATTATTCTTTACCCCATTGGCACCCTTGCTGAAAATCAGTTGACTGTAAATGCGAACACATGTGCACACAGGCCCAAGGACTGCCACTATGCACCAGGTACATACACTACATACAGTGCCTCCCAAATGTGCCTGCAGTAGGACATATGAACACAGGGACATCTGAACACCATCACTCCCCTTTAGATTAGTGACTGATGTCACCATGTTTTCTGTGGCCTATGATGTGCTCTGGAACCTAAGGCAGGATATGCCTCACCCAGACACCATCTCCTCCCACTGCACAGGGTCAGAACTGGCCAAATTGCTGGGGGGTGGGGGTCCAGATATATCCAAGGGTTTTGGGTTTCAGGCCTAGGCCAACCTGGAGAGAGTCCCCTGTGTCTATCTAGGGAGAGTTCCTATGTCCATCTAGGAAGGGTTCCTCTGTGCTCTTGTGGGGAGGGTCCCAAAGTGCTAGGAAGCACTTCTAAACTCACTTTCATGACATTGGCAGGAGATCCCAGACCTATACCATGATGTCCTCTCTTTTGGAAAGGACAGCTGGCTTCCTCCACTCAAACGATGAGGGGGAGAGAGAGAGAGAGAGCAGGAAGGAATGTGTGCCCAGACTCAACACCTGTCACCCCTGAAGGATGCTACTGATCCTACAGGCAACTCTGGTGCACCGAAGGGGCATCAGGGACCATCTGGAAGGCTACCAACCCTAGGGCCTCAGTTTCTTGGCCCTGAGTACACCTGAAGGTGGAAATAACCTTGGGAGCTTCAGGGGCAGAGGAAGGGCAGTTAAAGAGATAGCCCAGGAGCCAGGGTATGTGTGTGGTGGTGGGGCCCAGTGGGCTCACTTCAGCCCTGGCCCCATCCCCATCTCTCACTTCCCAGTGACTGATGTCTTCAGGACCTGTCTCAGAGACTTCCCAGAGACTGATACTTTCCCCAGATTTCAAATATCTATGATCAGTGGTTACTGTTCAGTCTCAAGTCCTGGCCCCAAGCAGACAACACAGACTCAGACTCAGACAACACAGAGACTTAAGATTTCAGCAAAAGTTTATTGGCCCTTGGTCTGGGTAAGGAACTTGGCTGGAAAGAGGCAAGAACAGATAAATCAGAGCAGTGACCAGCATTGCCAGCCACACACCCTTCTCCAGAGGGAGGGGCACCATCTATTATTCATCAGGAAACCCCTGTAAGACAAAAGCCAATTGGAAAAATAGCTGGGGGAGAAGAGGGACAGGGGATTGGTCCAGAACCCACCTCCCAGAGGCTTGCACCTGAAGCCAGAATCTGGAATAAAGTGGGACGTCAGGTTAGGGCCCCCCATTGGAGAGGAACAGCTACATTTAGAACCCCAAGAAGCAGGTTGCAGTAGGTGTCCTGCCTGGGTATAGGAGAAATTGGGGGGTGGGGGGATGGAGAATCAGCTGTTCTTGAGAGGCAGGTGCTGAGGACACAAGTGCAGCCTTGTCCTGCTGGGTCCAGACAACACACCACTAGCCTGGTGGATAAGATGGTCCAAGAGTTGTGTGGGAAGTGGACAGAGAATTCCAGGGGGTTGGCTGAATACAGAGAGACCTAAGGAGCTAGTGGTCTGAAGGTGTGGTGACCAGAGCCTGGGAGGTCCCCAGAGGGCTAAGCAGGGTCCCACAACAAAGATCCCTTTAGCAACACTGGTGGGTGGGGGCAGGAAATAAGGCCAGGTGGCAGGGGAGAGGGGGTCACTGGAGGCTGATCATTGGAAGTTGCTACCCTCTTGTGGGAGAGGAGGAGTAGGATGATCTACTGCCCCTTGGCGTGGCTGGGTGGCGGGCAAGAGTCCTTCCTTTCTCTATAGGATATGTGGGGTCAGCTCTACTCACACACCCAGCTTCATTCCCAAAGTACCCAGGCCCTCCCTGCCCACTTCTGCACCAAGGACTTTCCTGGGCAGCTCCCTCTAGTCCCGCCCCACACAAGCTGAGCATCTCCCTCCTGGAGATGCTCTCCAGCTCTCCTGCCAAGCAGGCCACAGCCTGATCCAACCTTAGCAACATCAGAACTGATATCTGGCTCTGAAAGGGGAAGGGCTACTCTGAGGGTCCCCTGGGGCCCAGACTGATGAGCATATATCCAAGAGTGCAGTGCTTGGTCCATATGGCTCCCCCACCCATTTAGGTTCACTGAATCAGCCCTTGCATGCCTGACAAATGGGCAAAGCACAGACCAGAGGTAACTGGCTTGGTGAGGATGGTGGGGACTTGTTCCTGCTAGGTATGCATGGCTGTGTCTGGGAGGCCCAGGTTAACCACACTCAGGTCAATGACATGGACTGGAGCCTGGGAGGAATGGATAGACCAGCCTGTGGTAGAATGACTCACTCTCCTTCCCATGGACTCCAGGTGGTAGGCTGTGGGTAAATGTCCAATGAACTCAGCTACAACTGGCAGATGGATCTTGGTGCAGCCTCAAGTGGGGCTCAGGATGAGACACTCCACAGTCTGGGCTCCAGACCTTGGACCAGCCCCAAGCAGCAGATCTCAGGGACTAGGACAGTTCAGGGTGTATCCAACACTGTCTGGTGTCCTCTACTGCACCAAACAGCAGGTGCTCAGGATTCGTGTTGGTGAGGAACTCCCAGTCTATACCCCTGGGGAGAACCTCTCTTTCCAGGGAAGGAAGGGTATAAAGCAGGACCCTAACTCCCTTGGGAGAGCTTTCCAGAGTCCAGGCCCTAAGTGCCCCCTAGTCAATAATGCTGCACACCTGCCTTCCAATGCTGAAACACACCCTGGAAAGCTTGGCAACTGTCACCTTCCTGCCTGAGCCTCCTGGGGAGCCCCTCATGCCCCCAACCCAAGGCACGCCTTGGCTCCCATGCAGTCCTTGGCAGATCCAACTCAAGGGCAGACAAGGGTGCCTCTACTGGCCAGAAGGGAGGAGTGGGCAACCCAAGCTGGGGAGCTGACTTCAGAGTAGCAGGGCCACAGTGGGCTGGACTGCCAATGGTATCAAATCCTGTGTTTTTTGGGTTTGTTTTTTTTTTTTTTTGAGACAGAGTCTCACTTTGTCACACTTGGTAGAGTGTGTGGCGTCACAGCTCACAGCAACCTCAAATTCTTAGGCTTAAGCGATTCTCTTGCCTCAGCCTCCCAAGTAGGGAGGGACTACAGGCACCCACCACAACGCCCAGCTATTTTCTTGTTGCAGTTGTCTTTGGTTTAGCTGATCCCGGCCCCGACCTAACAGCTTTGGTGTACAATGTGGCTGGCACCGTAACCACTGTGCTACAGCCGCCGAACCCCAAACCATATCCTTCACAAAGGCAGAAAAAAAAACATGAACTCTTGACACAGCCTGTAGGAAAAAAATACCCGTTCTGCGTTTTCTTGTACAGTCTCAGCAAAGGCCACAGCCCTACAAGAGGGTTCAGCCTCCGCTACAGCTGAAGGCCACAGCCTCATCTCAGCCATGGTATCCAGGGCCCTTGCTGGCCCTGCCGTCCCATACTGGGGTCGGCAGGGAGGGCCGCAGTGAGACCTGGCAGGAGCTGCCCCGCGAAATCCGCCCCGGGGTGCAGCAAGGGGAAGGGGCCTTCCTGCGCTAGCAGCTGCGGGCGGCCTGTGTAGCTCTCCGGCGCAGAAGCAGCGGGGGACAGAGAGGCCGGGTGGCGGCAAGGACCCAGTCAGTGCAGGCAGGCCGCCAGGTGGCCGAGCAGTCGGGAGCGCACGTCAGCGGAGACGCCCTCGCAGCCAGCCAGGAAGCGGGTCACCTCAGCCAGACACTCGTTGAAGCCAGAGAGGTACTTGCCCAAGATCACCGGGTCGGCGCTGAGTGCAGCTGTGGGAGCAAAAGGGAACAAGCGGTCAGTGCCAGTCAGTGGTTCTGTGCGCCTCTCGCCTCAGGGACATGCCACCTGCGCCTCACCTGTCACCTGCACGCAGTGCAGGTGCTGCAGGTGTCTCACAGTCATTTCCAGATGTCTGCCTTCTCCAGCTTCGAGCGGCGGGAGCTCTAGGGGCAGGGACGGGGCGGTGGGTTGCAGCTCAACTGTACCCAGACTCAAGCCTCAGGCCTTGGATGCCACTCTGCCCCCGACTTACTTCTTTTCTGAGGGCGTCCAGAATGAGGGTCTTGAGCTGAGCGAGGCTCTCATTAATGCGCACTCGGCGCCGTTTCTCCATGACAGGCTTGGAGGACTGAGTGTCAGGCAGTGGCTGAGTCCTGCGTTCCCTCTGTCCCTCTGCCCAACCTTCCCTCCAGCACCCCCTCTACGCCCGGCCAGGACCCCACCTTGCGGTGCTCAGCCGCGCTCCGGGGCTTGTCTGGGGTCTGGCTGCCGATGGCCGGCGCTTCTGCCAGCGGCGAGGGCCTCAGTTTCCCCGGAGTGTCAGCTGACATGGTGCGCCCCGGCGCTTTCCGGTGCTGGGCGGAGGGCGCCACCAGGGACCGAGCGCGAGCTAGCCGGGGAGCGGCCGCCACGCGGCCTTTCAAGCCCCCTCTGGTTTGTTTCGGGCTCCAAAACTGCGCTCAGGGCAGGCCGCCTTCCTATTTAAAGCCGCCGGCGGGCTGAGTGTGTGAACGCAGCTTTGCATTCTTTCCCACACTCGCGTCAGCCAATGGGAGGCCGCACTCCTCCCTCTCTGGCCCCCGACCCCCGCCCTGCACAGAGCCGCGGGCCCCCGCCCCCCTGCCGCTGCCCACGCCAACTGTCATTCACGCGCGGGCCCCCGGCCTGCGGCTCCGGCGGGTGACAATGGTGAGCAGGGGCACCCCGCCCGCGCCCGCCCCTGGCACCACTGGCCGAAGGCGAGGGCGAGGAAAATCGCTGCGCCCGCTCCCCAGCAGAGGGTTCCAGGCAGCGCGCCAGGAGGGGCAGCGGGGACCGGCAGGGCCGCTGACCTCCAGGGCTGAGCAGAGTTTAGAGGTTCACTTTCCGCCAAGCGGGGGCAGCAGTAGGACCGGGAGGGAGTTCACGGTGGACGGCGCAGAAAATTTGAAAGGAAATTTTCACCAGGGGCACTGAGTCAGGTACCATGGAGAAGCCAGGAAGCTAGAGCACACAGCACCTCTTCCTTCCTCCTCCACCATCCTGGCTCAGCCCCAAGGCCTCTGCTCAGAGTCTGAGTTTGACCTGACAGATGTTCAGTCTTGCGGCCTCCACTTACCCTTGGTGCAGTGGATGTGGCAAGTAACCATTGTTGGGAGGGAAGAGCCAACAGCAACTGCTGGGCTGGAGAGAGGTCACTGCCCTGTGGGGTCCAGAGACCGGTATGACCCAGGGCAGGTGGTGATGTCATTGAGCATCCGAAGGTGATGATTCAAGCCTGCTGGGATGATGTCATGGGGGCAGCGACCTCACATTCGTCCAAATTATCCAGATGCTGGTCAAGCACCAGCAAAGAACTCACAAAAATGAGGGACAAAGGCCTGGCACCATGGCTCACGACTATAATCCCAGAACTCTGATGCTGAGGCAGGTGGATTGATTGAGCTAGTTCAAGACCAGCCTGAGCAAGAGCTAGACCTCATCTCTAAAAAGTAAATAAATAAAATAGCAGACATCATCGCAGGTGCCTATAGTCCCAGCTACTCTGGAGGCTGAGGCAAGAGGATCCCTTCAGGCCAAGAGTTTGAGTTTCCTGTGAGTTATGACTCCACAACACTCTACCAAGGGCAGCAAAGTGTGACTCTGTCTCAAAAAAAAAAAAAAATTAGGGACAGTTGTTAATTTTTTTTTCATCTGTTATTTTAAAGGGGCAAGGTGGAAAAAGCAGGGTTATGACTGTTTCATGTTTGACATGGCTTCTTTCATTCTGAATGATGCTGTAGGGGCACGTTAACCTTTTTAGTACTCGGGGTTCTCATGACCACTGGAGGCTGCTGTGGGCCAGGTTGGCTCTGGGGTATTCAGACTATCCCAAGACTCCTGGGGAAGTGCAGAAGCCCAACGGCAAACAGACCCAGCAATCATGCTGCTGTGAGACAGAATTGGGCAGGTTGCTGGAGCAGAGAAAACCTGTCCACCTGGTGATCCTGAAGGCTTCTGCAGTGAGGGACTCAGAGGAAGATGGCTCTACCAGGCCCCAGAAAAGAGCACAGCATTCCCAAGCAGAGAAAGGACCACTGAGACAAGGGATGGGGGGCATACTGGGCCAGTGGGGACTGGTGCTGCTGGCCAGGAAGGATCTGGGGAGCCTTAGGAGGGGCTCTTCTGAGCAGGGGAGTAAGCCTATTGCCTGGCTGAAAGGATCACCTCCCTTACAAAGAGTGTGCCATGGTCATCTGGAGGTCTGCCCTGCTTAACACCCCCTCCCAGGGTTCCTGGCCCCAAGCCTGCTCTCCTCTTGGAGGCTGAACCTAGGCTGGGCCCAAGCAAAGTCCTGGCCCCACCCTGGAGCCCCCTCCATTGTGGCACAGATTTGATACCTCCAAGGTACTCCAGTACCCCCACCCCAGGCTGTTTACACTGGGGTGTACACCTCCAGACTGACAAAAGGCCTGGTATCCCTCTTGCAGGCCACGCTATTCAGGCACCTCTCTGGTCCCAGAAGCAGGGGCAGAGTGGGGTTAGGGGAAACCTCTAGCACAGAAACCCTGGCAGTCTGGACCTCTGCTTGGGCCACAGCACTAAAGCATTACAGGTCAGACCTTCAGTGGAGGAGTGTACCTAGATAGCAGGCCATGCCCCTCCTGGGCTCCTGGGCATATCATGTGGGCCGCCTCCCCCTCCTGCTGGGGGTATCCCCAGGGGTGTGGCCAGCCTGTGCCTCCCCGGCCTCCTGGATCTAGGTGGACTCTGGGCTTCCCTCCAGCATCCCACAGAGAGACAGGCTGAGAATCAAGATAAAGGAGGGGGCTCGGCGCCTATGGCTCAACCGGCTAAGGTGCCAGCCACGTACACCTAAGGTGGCGGGTTCGAATCCCCAGCCCGGACCCACCAAAAAAACAATGACGGCTGCAACCAAAGAATGGCCAGGCGTTGTAGCAGGCGCCTGTGGTCC